TCAGTACCTCGAAATACTTGGTGGTTAGACTCTGGTGCAACTACAAACACCAGTGTTTCAATGAAAGATTGTATAAACTAACGAAAGCCAAATGATATTGAAAGAAATATTTATGTGGGAGATGACAAGTCGGTGGAGGTGGAAGCTATAAGGCATTTTAGATTATTATTGTGTACCAGATTTTATTTGGATTTGAAATATACTTTTGTGGTTCTGTCATTTAGACGAAATTTAATCTCGGTTTCTTATTTGGACAAATCATGTTATTCTTGTTCATTTGGAAACAATATGTTCAAGTTGTCTTTCTACTCAGATATTGTTGGAACTGGTTCACTTATTGGTCATGATAATCTATATTTGCTTGACACAATAACTACCTATGGTGATTCCTTGAATGTGGAATCATGTGGTACTAAGCATAAAATTGATGATAACAATTAATGAGCATTATGGCACAAACGCCTAGGTCACATCTCTAAAAATAGAGTTGAGCGACTAGTGTCAGATGGAATTTTAGATTTCACTGAGTTCACAAATTTTAATGTTTGTGTTGAATGCGTTAAAGGTAAACAGACCAAAATAAAGAAATATGGTGCACATAGAGCTACGGGGGTGTTAGAATTGATACATACGGACATTTGTGGATCATTTCCTACACCTTCTTGAAATAGTCAATAATATTTTATATCATTTATAGACGATAATTCTAGATATGCATACATATTTCTCATCCATGAAAAGTCTCAATCATTGGATGTGTTCAAATTATTTAAGGTTGAAGTTAAGAATCAACTCAACAAAAGAATTTAAGAAAGTCAAATCTGACTGTGGCGGTGAATATTACAGTAGATATGACGGGTCACGTGAACAACGTCCAGGGCCTTTTACCAAACACTTAGAGGATTGTGGAGTCGTCCCACAGTACACCATGCCAGGATCGCCTAGCATGAACGGTGTTGCTGAAAGATGAAACCAGACTCTTAAGGATGTGGTAAGGAGAATAATTTGTCATTTTACCTTGCTAGAGTCATTCTGGAGAAAGAGACACTAAAGATTGTAGCTTACATTCTAAATAGAGTACCAACAAAAGCAGCTGTTAAAATACTTTACGAGCTTTGGACTGGGCGAAAGCCTAGTTTAAAACATTTTCATGTGTGGGGATGTCCAACTGAGGTAAGGCTTTACAGACCAAAATGAAAAGAAATTGAACTCCCGAACAGTGAGCAGCTACTTTATTGGTTATTCTGAAAGATCTAAGGGCTACAAATTTTATGATCCCAAATTCAATTTAATTTTTGAGACAGAAACAACCATATTCTTTGAGGATATTGAGTTTCGGGGGAAGAATAAGGTTAGAGACTTTATTTTAGAGAAAGAATCAGTAACAGTTCCAGAACCGATTCATACAGTTGCTTTTGATCAAGCAAGTATAAAACCTCCACAAGACATTGTTGATTTTCATCCTACTCAAGAGGATTTGGTAATTCAAGAAGAACAAACTCAAAATCCTTAAGAACAGGTGTTACAAGAACCAATACCTTTGTGGAGATCCATTAGAGAAAATAGAAATGTTATTCAGATGATTACATAGTCTTTCTCCAAGAACATGAGGAAAATAACGGTATGATGAAAGATGATCCAATCAACTTCCATAAAGTCATGCAGGATTCCAACCTAGAAAATTGAATTGAAGCAGTGAAGGAGAAGTATAAGTCCATGCAAGAGAATAAAGTCTAGGAACTTGTCCCGTTATCAGAAGGTATGAAACTCATTGGTTACAAATGGATTTTTAAAACCAAGCAGGATTCTAACGGTAATATGGAGAGGTATAAAGTATGCCTTGTGGTTAAGGATTATACTCAAAAGGAAGTGACCGACTTTAAAGAGACTTTCTCTCCGGTTTCATTGAAAAACTCTTTTAGAACAATCATGGCTCTTGTTGCACATTATAATTTGGAACTCCATCAAATATATGTCAAGACGACATTCCTCAATGGATGCTAGGCAGATACTTGAGCAATCCATAAATAGATTATTAGAAAATAGCCAAAAAAAGGTTATAAGGTATTTAAAGAGAACAAAAGACTATATGCTCACATATAGAAGGTCAAACTAGTTTGAGATCACTGGATACTCTGACTCAGATTTTGTTGGATACCAGGACAATAAAAGATCCACTTCAGGTTATATCTACATGTTGGCTAGTGGTGCAGTTTCTTGGCGCAGTGCCAAGTAAACTCTTACGGCTTCATCCATCATAGCAGCATAGTTTATAACATGTTATGAGACACTCAACCATGAGATTTGGCTAAGGAATCTTGTCACTGGGTTGCGAATTATGAAAGGAATTGAAAGGCCACTTAAGTTATATTATGACAATAAATCAGTTGTCCTATATTTCAATAATAATAGGAGCTCGACCAAGTCAAAACATATTGCCATCAAGTTTCTAGTTGTTAAGGAAAGGGTACAGAGTGCACAGATTTCCATAGAACACTTGAGGTCAGACTCCGTGATAGCATATCCTCTTACAAAAGATCTTCCACTCAAGGTCTTTCATGAGCCCACAGCTCACATGGGTGTTTTACTGTTAGAGGAGTCTTTGGTTTAGTGGGAGTTAGTCAATTATGAATTTTATATTCTATATTTTGGTATTATGTGTGCATACTATGATTTTGGATATTTTTTAATTATTTTAAGTTTTGATATTCAGCAGTTTACATTTTGTACAATAAAGTTATTGAGTGATCTCACTAAAGTAAAGTATGATCAGTTGAAAATCGACATATACAGACCAATTTCATGTGATTTTCATGTTGCAAATTTCATGATGGATCTATGTCATTTAGTTATGTCACTATTAATGATCATTGATGAGTTTAGTTATGAATGATATAATGAAAATCACCTTGATTATATATATATATATATATATATATATATATATATATATATATATATATATATATATATATATATATATATATATATATATATATATATATATATATATATATATATATATATATATATATATATATATATATATATATATATATATATATATATATATATATATATATATATATATATATATATATATATATATATATATATATATATATTGGCATGACTAATATACGAGATAATTTGGATATGCTTAAGGAATATAATAGCGAATTTTGAGCTCATAAAGTCTATTACATGTGTATGATTACATATGTGACCAATGGGAGATTGTTAGAATTTTTGAGTCAGAGATGTAATATTGCATGTGTTAGGCCATTTTGTAATTTACCAAAGTTATAGTGGTCTAATTAATAATAAGTTTGTGGCTAAAAGCATAAATATCATGAAAGGTAATTGTGTAGATACTATAAGTCAATATCAAATTTGATGAGTGGCCAAATTAGAATATTGAAAACTAAGAAATAACGTTAAGGTTATGGGTTATGGTCCCCATTTGTAGACAATGAAAAACGGCTTTTTAGAATTTCTCTCTTCATCCCCATCGATCAGAGGAGAATCAATAAGCTATAAGAAACTCTACAAATCAGAAGATCAAATACCCGCAAACTTTTGGTAATTCTCAATGGAAAATTCAGATACACTTTCGCTTTCATTCTCATAATTATATTCGGATATGATGACAAAAATTAATCCATATAATCGATTTTATTTAAATAAATATGATATCGCGTGTTCGAACTCACACATATGGAGTTTGATGTCCTTATCTAATTAATAATTGAGTTATCCACTGCCTTAAATCTCTTTATATATTTGATTCATTTTTTAAAATAAATTCTATACCGTCTTTCTATTTTTTTTTAAAAAATACAAAAGTTTTTTAAATAATTTGAAATTGATTTAAATAATTATTTCTTCATTTTATAACTTCTTTTAGATATCAAAATATGTTATTCCATCTACTATTATATCCATACATGCAGCTAGGGATTATCAAATCACGTGACATTACTCATTAAGTTAATTTCTAATTTTCAAATTTTACTTAACATGATAAAATTAATGATAATATATCATTTTACACCGTCATTCTTTTTTTTAAACATGATTGGATACTTAATTATCAAAATAATTTAACATATTCATAATACAATTTTTAATTGATAAAAAAAACCTATAATATAAACAACCAATCAATTTCATTACTTAATTTTCAAATTCTTTTGAAGGTGCTGGGCTCCATTAGGCCTAAGGAAAGCCCACCGAAAAGATCAAAATTTTTTAACACGATGATCACTTCTTTATTTAATGATATATTATTAATTAGGCATAGCAATGGAGCATGAAGGTTTTTATTTCCCCAAACTCAAATCTTATATAATTTTTATTTTCCGTTCTAAATTCTAACGAAGATAAAAATTAAAATTCAAATATGTTTCAATCGGATTGAGAAAGGTTCGGGTATCTCTGTTCCACTGTCATTAATTTAATAAGATCAATTTTTTAATAGAAATATTTACTTTTTCCAATATTAAATTATATTATAAATAATAAAATAAAATTATCTTTAAAAATTCTGTACATACATTTCAAATATTTTAAATAATAAATGCAAATCAAGTTAGATCACAATAATATTTTAAATTATTAAAAATAAATAATAATGTATGTAATGAAATAAACGTGACAGGTTCATAGCAGACACTAGTGATTCCTATTACCCGACCACTTCCCATAATATATAATCGAAAAAAATTCAAACTCAAACTCAAAATCAAATCAAACTTTTTTCATCAATTTTAAAGCCGATTCGAATGAATACTCTCAGATGAATTTTATTGCCATGCCTATTATTAACTAATCATAAATAATAAACTATAGTGATACCACGTAGAAAATACCTATAATCACCAAGAACAAAAAACCTATATTTATAAAATTCTTGATAATATATGAATGAATCAACAAGAGAACAACAATGATTTCAATTTCAACCAAACAGCCAGAAAATCAACCATCAAAGTGTTTAATTAAACTTGCAACATTTCATAGACAACATCCTCAACCAAAGAATCAAAAATTTGATCCACAACTTCTTCACCAAATTCAAAAGCATCAACCTCATAATCCAATTCCAACCACTTTCCATATTTGTTACTCATATCCTTGTCCACAAGTTCTTCCACCATTAAATCTCTCATCCCTCTCAACCCCAAAATTTCCTTGTACACATCTTTTGCCAACCAATCTTTTCTTCTCACCATTTCAAACCCTTTAGTCCACATTTTGTACCCTCCTCCTACATAACTCCTGCATCTCAAATCCAAACATTCACTCACACAGTCAAATATAACTTTCCTTTCCATCCTCGACTCATCGTCACACTTGTAACCTCCCCTTCTGCTTTCCAACTGATTGAAGAGGTGAGAGTTCACAACCTCGCGTGCTCGGCCGAGGGAAAAATCTATATACATCAACTCAACATTACATAGTATCTCTTTCACATATTCTAGCTCCCATGTACTTGATAATCTTCCAAACTTCATAGAAAATGTATTTGCGTGCTTCTTAATCATAGTCCTGGTTGAGGTTGAAGAAGCTGAATCAGATAACTCTGCATCAGATTCGGTAGGATAGAATTTCCTCGAAAAATTGAAGCCATGGATCTCTTGAGCTTGAATAGATGAAAACATCTTGCTTCCTGAAAGTACATAGACATTAAAGATTACCACTAGTGTGTCATTAAAATTGGTCACATTTTACAAATAACTAACTAACTACCTTCAGTACTAGTAACGTCCATACTCATCGAGGATTCACAACTTTCGATTGAGAAAGACGGTTCAAGAACAGAAACAGGACTTGGTTGTCGGCAATTGGACGACAGTGGTTCCATCTCATCACCCTGCAAACATTTTTAAGTTAATGACTCACTCAAACTCAATGAGAGAAAAGCATAACTAAACATGACATTTGCATAAACTAAAGTGGTAATTGTTTTGTAGAACCAATCGTAACATATATAACTACAGAGATAGTAACTTACATATGAAAATTAGGCCACAAAAAAATTAAAAGAATGTGACATACCCATGATTTATGTTGTTTCAATGATGATTCTGGATGATTGCGGCTACTGCTTAGACTGTCCGAAAACGACATATCTTGGTCTTTCTTCAGCTGCAGTCTTGGATTGAGGTTTACTATATTAAAGTTGGTTACTTGATCAATTGACATTGGTGCAGAATTGGAAAGTTGCCTCACTTTAGAAACATCACTGGAAGATGAGTTTTCAACTCCACTTGTCAATTCCCTCAGTTTCTGTTCTAAAAGTATACCTAAGGCATCACCACCAATTACATTATATCCTATTGGAGACCTCGAACTGTCTGCGTCGAGCAACACTCTTTTAATGCGTTGATCCAATGAAAGATCATTAGTATTCTTCCCACCTTGCCGAGGTGTCTCGAAACCTGGATTGCTGCTCCTTGTTAATGGTGTGGTAAATGTGAAGGAAATTACATCCATGTCTTTCTTTTTCACTTCCTCAGGCTTAACAGGCTTTGGAGTTTTGTCGATGAATAAATTATCAACAACTCTGTCATTCCAGTCCTTGTCTGTGGTCCTTTTCTTTCTAGGAAAATTATTTGTGCGGGTGTATAGAATTTCGTTTTCGCTATCTGTCACCTCCACGGCTGACTTTTTCAATCCGGTTTTAGATTTCGCGGTGTATTTACCACTTGAGCTTCTATGCCGTCCGTAAGAGGAATCTCCAGTCATAACTTTCCTACCTTGTGAATTGGAAACCAATGGCTTAGATGGTAATGACTTGTCATTCGTATCCATTGAATGGTTCTGTTTCAGATTATTCTGCCTGAGAACATTAGAAGAATTCAGGCCAGAAGATTTCCTATGCAGATTTTTCTGAGCATTTGTCTTAGGTGGGTGATTTGATTTTGTGTCGACATGCTCTTTTTGGTTCATCAAACTTCTGCCACCGGTAGAACTCAAACCTTCCCTTCTTTGAACATTCACTTTTGCTTGGATTGCAAGCGAAACAGATTTCCCCTTATTCTTCAAAGAAGAATCTTCTTCTGCATGTGGAGGAGACTTGACGGATGTTTCTGCAGTTCTATCCCAGCTTCTGTTCAAAGAAGCAGATTTCTCCTTATTCTTCAAAGAAGAATCTTCTTCTGCATGTGTAGGAGACTTGACGGATGTTTCCGTAGTTCCATTCCAGCTTCTGTTCAAAGAAGCAGATTTCTCCTTATTCTTCAAAGAAGAATCTTCTTCTGCATGTGTAGGAGACTTGATGGATGTTTCCGCGGTTCCATTCCAGCTTCTGTTCAAAGACTGTCCCTTTAAATACTTTGCAGCATTCAACTCGACTGATGATGATGACCTTTGAGAAGGTTCTGAAACTCTGCTTGTTGTTCTTTGAGAAATGTCTCTTCTTTCTTTCAGTTCTCGAGTCTTAAAAGCTACAGAAGATGTCCCAATTAAAGGTCCTTTTTGTGAAGAATCTAACTTATCTCTAAGATCTTTAACCCTCAGTGAGACTGTTGATGATGCCATATGTGCTTTAGCCTTCGCTTGGGAGGATCCAGGTTCCATAATTCTCGCAGCAGCCTCCATTATATAAGCAGCATTGTTGGACGGAACAAAGCCAGGATTCTTTATAGGGGACAAAAGTTTATGGTGTGTAACGGGAATTGACTTGGCTGATTTTGGAGGTAACACTTCTTTCTGAAACTTCTCAATTGGCCTAATAATCGTCTTCTGAGGTTGAGCCTCCATTATACCAGATCCCTTCGAGTTTCTCAGTTCCTCATGATTTTTCCTAAGGTACTGAGCCTCGTCTTGAAGGGATCTGGTATCAAAATATGGAGAAGCGTAGGGATCAGAGAAACCGGAAGAAGGCAAAGAATCTAATCCCATAAGCCTCGCAACTACATTAGGAGCTCTTGTTCCAGATGTTTCATCACTTGTAACAGATGAAGCATAACTATGATCACAACTTCCTCTAACAAATTCCCCTACACCATTTTCATCTTCATCCACCTAAAAGAATTTTAAAAAGTAGTTAGCAAGTTTCACAACAAAAACCGAAGATAATAATAAGTAGTTGAGACTGAAGATAGTAATATTGCGTCACCAGATAGGGATGTCCCATTGCCCCATTGTGATTGGATTTTCTTTCCTGTTTCAAACACTCTACAAAAAATGATGAAGAAAAATTTAGCAACAGCACAAGATAAAATGAATTAAACAAATACATTTGACTAGAGATTTACCTGGTAAATCTGACTTGGATGCAAATAACTTCTTACGCGATTTCGAGGTCCAATCAAATAAGTGGAAAAAACTACCTCCACCTTTAGTCCCTTCTTTTTCAACTCCCATTTTTTAAAGCAGAACTCAGTAAACCTTATCAAGATAGAAAAATCCAAACTGTCAGTAGATCAAGAATCATAGCTCATTTGAAATCTATGACAAAGTACTTGTGAGAAAAACCTAAGATCCACCTTAAAATCCTTTACTTCACATCTCCTAATTTGCTTATCTATAAATAAATCTCTTTTGAGAGAACCAATTAAACAACAATATAGTCTCACATTCCAAATCAATAGCAAATACACACAACTCTTGATTCTACTAATCAATTACACAAATCTAAAGTTCCTTAGCATAAAAATTTAAGCTGAAATCAAACATGTAGTAGTCATAATTACAAGGGTAAGCAAAGTAAAGTACAATGTTGAGGATCAAGCAAAGGTTTTATTCATCAACCAAACAACTAAGGAATAAAAAACCAAAAAAATTCAAACTTCAACCTAATCCGAACACTAAAAATAACATAGGTGGTGATGACAATGTAGTACCAATAAAGTGTAAAACGAAAACGAAATTCGAAAAAGGAAGAAGCAAAGGGAAAGAAGGCATTAAAGGAAAGGAAGAAAAATTCAAACTTTAACATTAGAGTGAAGACTTACTTTGAAAGATTGAGATGGGTGAGCTAATTATTCATTCGAGTATGGTGAAAGAGAAGTGTATAGCACCCGCCACAAAAACAACAAAAACATTGTTTTTTGTTTTCTTTTCGGAATAAAAGAAAGACAATTGAATTGAGGTTGTTCGAAGTTGAAGAGAAAAAAACTGAATCAAATTTTGGGAATAGAGAGAGACAGAGAGAGAAAGACACCGTTTGAAACAACCTTAATAAATGGAGACAGAGAGAAAAATAAAATAGAGAAAGAATAATAATAATCTATAATAATTGAAAAAAACGCTTTTATTTGAAAATATATAGGTTTGTTTGGATTATAAAATTGGGAAGAGTTTACAACGTCTCTCTAGAGAGGGATGAGAATTCAAATTCCAAACAGGGAAAACTGTGGTCCGAAGGAGCTTCATAACGTCACTTCTTTTCTTGTATTTGGCTAGCTAATTTGCCAATTGTTTTGTGACACGTGTAATGCCCTTTCGAGTTCCCCATCATTCAAATAAGTTTATAGACTTTTGTTCCGTATATGAGGTTATTTTAGATAAATTGGTTGGTAGTTCATAGGGGTGTTCGCGGTTCGGTTTGGATCGGTTTTAAAGCAAAAACTCATCTGATCTAAAGATTAATTCACTTAAGGTTCCGTTTGATTTTGGATGATATATTTAAAAAAATCCAATCTGATCCGATTCAATTTTATGCGGTTTAATTTGGATCGATTTTTGGATATCTAAATTACACATTATATTTTTATTAATATTATAAAACTACTAATAAATCATAGATTTGATATAATATATAACATATAGTATATTAAAAGTGAATATTATAAAATGAGAGTGATTGATTATGTTTGAAATAATAAAAATAAATAGATTATATCAAACTAATAAATATTATTAAAAAAATTATTATCATCTAATAATAAATTCACATAACATGTCATACTAATAAAAAGTAAATAAGTATCAAAATATATTTATGTGGTTCGGTTTGATTTGGATCGGTTTTGAAAAATTCATCCGAAATTCAATCCGAACCGATCGGTTTTCATAAAATAACATCCAAACACAACCAATAACTTTCGGTTTTTTATGGTTTTCAGTTTTTTGGATCGGTTTTCGGTTTTTTATTTGGATTGGTTTGGATTTGAACACCCCTAATAGTTTATAGTAGTTCATAGCAAAATATTTAGTTGATTTAATTTGTAGTGTTTAATAAAATTAATTAATTAATACACATATATATCAAAATATATTTTTAATTAATATTTAAATTTCTTCGAGCACAGGTAAATGTTGTATAAGTTGATTTTAAGGATTTGGGTATAGTTTCAGCTGTCAAACATGAAATACATTATGTATTGCAATAAATATTGTGAACGTCGTGGAATTTCAAATGATATTTGTCTTTAAGACTGTAGTTTGAGGTAGACAAAGTCACCAATAGCAAATGCCCTATCACTCATATGTTTATTTGCTTCTTGTGTCATCTTGTTCTGAGCTTGCAACAAATGAAATTTGAGCAGTTTAATAGCTTCCTCCCTGGTCAAAAGACTTTTGTCTACATTTAGGTTAGTAACAAAGTTGGGGAGGTAGGGTAAGTGAATCGATGGGGATTGTCCATACACGATATCAAAAGAAGTGGTGTAGTGGTTGAGTGGTAATTAGTATTATACCACCATTCAGTAAAGAGAGCCATTTATTTTAAACCACTGATTTATTTGTTCAACAGTCATACACCTGAGGTAGGTTTCGAGACACTTATTGACCACTTCAGTCTGGCCATCGGTTTGAGGATGGTATGCTGAAGATTTATGCAGTGCCACTCCTTGCAACTTAAAAAATTCCTGCCAGAAGGTGCTGAGAAAGATAAGATCCCTATCATTAGTTATTGTCTTGAGGAGGCCATGTAATTTAAAAACATTGTCAATGAAAATTTGTGCCACATCAAGAGCAATGTACGGGTGAGCTAAAGCCATTAAATGAGCATATTTGCTAAGTCTATCCACTATAACAAATATGGCTTGTTTACCTGTGGATAGAGGACGTCCTTCCACAAAATCCATCCTGATGTGTGCCCAAATGTGATATGGAATCTGTAAAGGTTGTAAAAGACCAGGATAAACAGCCAGGCCTGATTTGTTTCTCTGACAGATAGGACAATTCTTAACAAAATTAAGAATCTCATTATGCATACATTTCCAATAGAATGGTAACTTAATCCTTCTAGTAGTCACATCCCTACCAGAATGTCCTCCAATATTTAAAGTGTGTAACAAATGCAAGATAGAATCTTTGAGCTCAGGACTGGACCCAATAACCAGTATTCCTCTTCTCCTAAGTTTACCATGCAACCAAGAATACTTATGATGAGATTGTGGATCCTTGTGCAAACCAAAAATGATTTTCTTGAGATGGGAATCTTGCTTCTAAGTAAGGTGTATTTAATCTAAAAAATCATCTTCTCCATTAATTAAAGTTAAATCTAATAATTTCGCTCTAGTTTTTCTAGATAAAGCATCAACAATGACATTGGTGGACCCTTCTTTATATTATATTTCAAAGTTAAATCCAAGTAGTTTGGACACCCACACATGTTGAAATGGTGTATTAAGCTTTATATCCCACATGTATTTGATGCTCTTTTGGTCAGTTTTTATGGTAAAAGGCGCATGAAAAATGTAACGCCCGTAATTTAATTTAATTATTTATTTAATTAAATTATTTTTGGATTATTTGTGAATTTGCGAGATGTTAAGAATGATGGGTATGGGTTGTTGGATTATTATTAATTAATTAATTAGTTGATTAATAATAATTATAACGTTGGAATTAAGGGAATATTTATATAATGTTGGACTTATGTTATTGGTTGCAAGTAGTAAAGTGGAGGTGTGTAGGTTAGGCCCAATAACATTGATATATAAGGCTAAGCCGACACAAGGAATTGTTTTAGTTGGTGTTTAAGAAGCTTTGTACGTTGACCGGAAGAGCCGCGCGGAAGAGGAGAAAGTTGCCCGGTGTCGAGCAGAGCAAAGCAAGGATTCTGGCCGGAGCTTTGGTTAAGCGACCTTCAATCCAGGTAAGGGTGGGGTTCTGACCTTATAATGGGACTTATGATGTGTATTACATGGGAATTAATGAACATGTTATAGGAAATATAGTTGCTTGTTGCTGTGTTATTCCGAGCGGTTGGCCGGAAGTTATGAATGGTAGTGGTGTGGTTGTTAAGACGTAGTAGCGTGTTTGTACTGTTGGTCGAACTAGTGGTCGAGGAGGATGTTGATGGTGTTAGATATCAATCGAAATATTAGGCTGTGAGGCGTGTCGGGGGGTATGTGTTGGATTGTCGAGCAGTACTAGGTTGCAAGACACATCGAGGAGCATAAGTGGGTGTTATCCTATTTTCCCCTATGCGTGTCGAGGAGTATGAATTAGTTGTTAGGCTATCCTAGTTGATATGCATGTCGAGGGGCACATAGTTCACTATCCCTTTTTGCCCGCACATGCTGTGTTTTTGTCGTTAACCGCTGTTTACCCTGGAATTTAGTAAACAACCGTTGATCCTCTAAATCCTTTAACAGATTCAGTTACTCACGAGATAAATCAGATTGATCTCGGGACTATTGTGTTCAATTATTTAGAAAGCATGTTTTGATGATAATCTCTTTAAACAAAAGGAATCACTCTGCACGTCGAAGTGAAACTTCTTTATAAAAATGATGAAATATAAACTAGTCTAGACTGGGAATTGTAAAGAACGTAAAGAAACTTCATTGAATGTAAATGACATTGAATATAAAATATGGTGCATCATACGTACATTCTCGTTAACTCTTTTCTCGAACACTGGTACTTTGAGTATTTTGAGTATTTTGTACAAATATGTGAACACACTAAATCAAAACACAAAAGCTACAATTTATAGAACTTCGACCCTAACGGTCTCCTAACAAACTAATGACACATTTCCGCTGGCATGTCTTCGATAATCCAAGAGATTCCACGCGTCCTTCTGGATAAGAATGAATATTCGAATTCAAACCCTTTGCTATCCGTCTTGATCGCTAAAACCAATAAAATATGATAACACTCGAAGTATAAAGTCTTAAACCATGTTTCGAATAATAACTTTATTTCGCAATTCGAATTATAAACTATCCATCAATCTCTTAACGAATTTCGAATTCGAATCTTCATGGCTTTTAACAAACAAAATAGTCAAGCAACTCTCTAAGTATATTCAGACCATTGACTCAGCTCAATTTCTCCTTAGTCTAAATTTCCAGCCAACAAATTGCCCCCAAGAAATATTCATTTCGAAACCAGAAATGCATATTTTTTGTAATCTTCTCAAATTTCAACCTTCTGAACAACTCATCAACCATTTCAACTATTAT